ACCCGATGCCGGCAAGAGTGGACAAACATACAAATGTACAGGCAGACAGACACACCAAAAGTTTAGCGTCGTCTTTAAAAATTGTAAACAATTCATCTTACCGTAAAATGTTTACTATACAGCTATATACCAGGTGTGTGCAGACGCCGGCAATTTTTCTGTCTTAATTAGGTTCGTCAGGACGCATCTTTCGAAAGAGCAGGTTTGCAGTGGATCACTGCTTGCCTCTGCGATCCCAAAATTAGATCGGCATCTCGTTCACCCTTAAAACTGCGAAAGAAGACGAAGTAAAGTCAACTAGGACACACGAGTCGAAGCAGCACCAGTAAGGCAGAGAAACGTGCGGCAAAACTATCGGTTAATTCGCTAGTACAATAAACTTGAGAGGCGAAGTGTCCAGCTGTTTAGATAAACGCCTAGATATTAAGAAGAGTACACTTAGATAATAAGGAGAGCACGTAGAACGTATTCTCATTAATTTAGGTGTTCATTTACTTTCCCTACTTGTATGACGTTTTTTTTGTTAAAAACGCCTTCTACGCGTTCATTAAACTCTGTTGAATGAGTCAAACAGGAATTAGTCACGAGCTATTGACTGTTTACTGTGTTTCATTTGAAAAAAACTCAGGGAACAGGATATTCAACTAATATTGCTTTCAGTATAAAGCACGTAGTAGGCAAGCGTGTTGGCAATTGTCGCAAATGATGGCTAACATTAAGCGCGATCAGAAAACTGAGGTTCTTGGGGACCCTTCGTGAAAACCTGACACTGAAATATTGTGTTTTAGAAGCGATGCCCCATTTGTATGCGCTAACTACTTTCAATGCATTCTTATAAGCACTTGCAAGCCACTATGCTGATCATTTTAATTTTCTGTGTCACACTTGAATTAAAGTATGTATACCAGATGCAAGATTTTTGCAATTGAGAATATTCAGTTAAGCGGTGATCTATCAAATCTTCAATACACCTTCAGAAAGGCAGACACTATGTAAGCTCTGGCAAATTAGCACTTTGGAAAAGAAATTCCGATGAATGGCACTGCGCGCAATAGGCGCAGTGATGCAGATCGCCAATGGTTTTGATTTCTTCCTTGTGTACTTGAAGAAGACATTCGGTATTCAATCAAGGGTTTCACAAAAAGGTGAAAACACGACCTATTACCATCTGGAATTTAACAAAAAACAATCATTAAGTTGTTGTAGTAACTGATTTGGTACAACAACGACAATTTACCCGGCAGAAAAGTTTTTAAAAATATTTTTTGCTAGCATTTCATGTTACAAAAGCACCATGCATATGATTTGGGGACAAGCAATAGTGGAAGGTGTTCCGAAAATTTGCGACGACTTGGGCCTCTTTAACGTGCACCTAACTTTAGGTACTCGGCCTTGTGCATTTTCGGCTCCATCGAAAATGTGGCCACCGCGGTCGGCATGCGATCCCAATACTTGCGAGAAAAATTGTTATAAAATAAAGTTTCTTGAAATGTGGTTTACTAAAGCCCAATAAATAAGCTGTGACATGCTCATAAAACATGCTACAACATATCGTACTAAATGTTTTTTTTTCATAGCAATTTTATTGCAATGTGCGAAGACAATGAAAATAAAAAAAATCTTACCCCCAAAATAACAGAAACACGGGTTTAGCCCGTGTTTCTGTTCCCGAATTCCGAAAATGGTGATAATGTTTCAAAGTGTGATGTTCCTTCTTGAAGCTTTGCAGAAAAGAAGCTGCGAAAGAGTGTTACGGGTAAGTTGACGTGTCTATTTCTTTGCAGAAAACATCCGGTGTGGAGTCTATTGAACAGCCGTTCGTTACAAGCACACTTGCATGCGCGTTCACATTTGTCCAACATGCTATGAAGTATGTTTTTTAGAGCAGCGCCGATTGTCTTTGTAGATAGCGGCACTCGCTTTCAGTGATATCGGAGCAAGAGTCCTCACAAGTGGTAAACACGAGCAGCCCGCACTCCCGACAACAGGGTTTAGAAGAGAAAATTCTGCGTGGATAGATACACAATATACATGCTGAAATCTCAGTCAGGTTCGCACGATTGTCGCCGCTAGTAAATATTGTAAAGCTCAATGGTGAACCAAGCATTCAAGTCGTTATAATGAACGGTGATATATTAACATTTAAAAATTCATCTTTTCTTGAACCATTTTTATTGCAACTGTTAGTGGGCTGAAGAATCTTCTGATCAGTACATCGAACTCTAGAAGATGATTTAGCTGCATTTTCATACCTCAGAACCCCACCGCGTGCAACCAGAACCCCAACGAAGTAAAAGGGCGAGCTTCAAAACAATAGGACGAACCTGACCGAGAGCCATGACCTAGTCAAAGACTGCTTAGCCGTGCTCCCAAAGGGCTGCAGAAAAAGCGTCCTTTTTTTACCTTTAACCTCTATCTAAGGTAGTATGTTAGCTGTTTGTCCTCCCGTTAGTTATTGAAATTTTCACACGGCGCGCACTTCACAACAATGTGAGGACTAGAGGACACAATGTGAGGACTAAAATTGACGTCACTCCCTCTGTTAGAGGGTTTTTTGTCATCTGGTGTTGCTATATACACGAAAGGAAGAATATTGGGCTCATTTTCCCATAGATTACAAAAGAATCGATGCGTAATTGTTTTTTTCGTGTAAAAAGAATAATATGCACCGTTTCAATATTATGTAAGTGCACCATCCACGACAAGGGCAGCTTGCAGTCGACGTGGGAGTGACTCGTATAGCATTTCTACGATGTCCTTTCTCTCATCAAGACGCTTTTACTCTGAGGTTATGGTGAGCCAGAGCACCTCAGCACTGTCATCTCCGAGGTTCGCGTGAAACCAACTTTCTTTATAGCACTCTAAACGCTATTCATCAGATTGAAGTAAGGACCTTTCCAGGGGCACAGTCGAGAACTGAAACGGTACGTTCTCGGAACACGTTTTGCACAGCTATAGCAGTGGGTACGGGGCTCATTTATTCTTAGAACAATCCGCCATATTTAAATGGCCCCTCCAGAGCGTACGATCATAGGGCATGCAAGCGGATCATCTTAGCTACTTCCTCCCCAAACGTTGACAGCACAACGACCGCTGTTGTATGTCTCAGAAACATAGCTGTGTTCATACCTCCGCTAAGAAAAATATAGATTCGTCTGTCTAGGTGAAAACCTTTTGCACCCAGCAGAAATTTTCATCAAAATATTAGAAAAGCATATCCGGATATATCCCTCTGTACGCGGCTCTCTTGATCTCATCCGCACTTTAAGGTGAATTCATATGAGAATGTGATTTCTTTTCATTATTTGGTCGTATAGCACTCCAGCCCTAATAAACTGAATGCACTGGCCGTTTTGTCACTTTGTGAGGTATGGCTTTTGTGTCAGCGACAAATTCTCGAAGACCAGCCTGTTGCATGCACCTTCTCATTGTCTCCTCACTGGCTTGCAGATTGAGGGTGATGTTGATCTGCCACGCGCTTTTGAGATTATCGTCAACTGTTGCGGCAATATTGACCCGGTCGCATTCTTTTTGCGTGCATTGTTGCTGTCCGGAGCGTGTTGCATCTTTGAGTAAATTTCATTCGACTCAATTAAATCAAAAGTTAATATTTCATTATTTACTACACGCTGGATGGATGCATCGGGATAAAAGCTACGTAAGTAGCCTGAAGAAAAATGACGTAAGTAGCTTGAAAGCCGGCGGCCTTCATACCAAAATGTTTGTATTGTTCATTTGACCACACTTAGGGGGTTTTATTTGAGGCTGCACATATCGCGAAGAGGTATATCTTGTGACTCGAGCTTGATTACCTTACTTCTTACGTCCATCAACGCTCTTTACAGCATGATGTCTGTGGAAGGAAAAGGGAAAAATTTGTGTTCCTGGCATGGTTTAAATATGGTCGCGTGTGTTTATCAATCAGATCACCGATGTGTTCACGGCTGCATTCATGTTCTTGGTATGGTTTAAATATGGTCGCATGTGGTCGCATATGGCATGGTTTAAACATGGTCGCGTGTGTTTATCAACCAGGTCGCCTATATGTTCACGGCTGCATCAGACCAAAGCGTCGTCTTTTGTCAACAAACAACACTTTATTGCTGTTGCTAACGTATAGCAATAAAGCGTAGTTTGGTGACCTAGCCTGTCCCCTTATTCGCCTGAACCAGTGTACTTGCGATGACTCAAGCTACGGATAGGCGACGTTAATCATTCACGGTACGACTTTGTGTGGCTGGAACATTAGGTAGGCTTCTGTGTTAACCGTACTTAGGACGGACCTCCTACAGTATCTACTGATCAACACCAAATGGGTGGCCTTAACGGCGGCTTTAACGCCATCTTATAAGCAATACTCCCGTGAGATCAGGAACAAGTACTACTACAAAATGGTCTGCACACGGAAGCTTTACTCATTGTTAACAACTTAGGATGCACATGAATTCTTATGCTTTGGTAGCTATGTAGAACAGGCTGAGAGGCAATACGTTGAGTAAGAAAGAAAAGTTGACAACCACGCATTCATAGCAACAAGTCAAGAAGAAATCAATAAATCTATACGCATTTCTCAGGAAGAAAACTTCTTCGTTTCCGAAAATTTCGTCCTGGTCTGAGTAATCTCATTACGTTGGCTCATTTGCAATACATCGGCTGGGACCATTCCACGATGATCTACATCGTTCTTTTCTTAAAAAGTTTATTTTGCATTCCCGTTGTGCAAGAGCGCTTGAAATGTCTGGCGTCAAATTTACGCCTCAACGACGATGAGCTACTTAATTCATTTCAGCCCTATCTCCGACGATTCAATAGCAGGTATTTGTTTGTACTTTTGGAGGTTAATGCCATTTGTTACTAATACTACAGCGGTTCCTGAGAACCTACCTAAAAAGGGTAAATAAAGTTCAGCAAATCAAGCGTGATATTGGTGAGAGCTTTATATTTATTGAACATGAACATCCATGCATCCAATAGCATGCCTTGTCTTGTAAATGTTCAACCTAGCTCTACTTTTGTACAAGACATATTTGGAGGTAACGACAAACATCCTTGTTTGATAAGTACGCCACTACTTTATTAGGACGCCGAATTGCAGTGCCAGCAATTAAAATGCAGACAACGATAATCGTAATTGCATTCATTGAGCTAGAATATTTAGAGGTATGATAAAACATGGTGATCTGTTGTGCCATCTATGCTCTAAAATCCAGTGACGAACATGCCTCCGACGTATCCGTTCTTGTTGAGGCAATGTTCTCCGGGTGACAGCAGGTTGAGGTAGACGTCGGTCGCCACTGTATTTGTCAGATGAGCATCTGAATGTGGCCTACGAAGCTGCTCTGCTTTCAGCTGGCTCTGCCGCTTCCACTTGGTCCTGTAGAAAAAAAAAACATGAAGCCACAAAGTTGTGCTGAGAACGCTTTTTTTTTCGCCAGTAAAGAAAATTTACACTGATGTCGTTTCGTAGCAAAAAGTTCGCTAGGTGTTAATTTCTTGTCACGCAAGAAGGCGAAAGCCTTATTGCACCGACGTACCCTGAATGAGTCGCTACGCACTGGTATATATGTTTGACAATGAATCAGCTATTGAATCCTCTCATAGAGTCCACTCCAAGTTTCTGCTCCGCTGTAGTTTTAAAGTCATCTTCAGAGACTCTCTCTTTGATGCGATATTCAAGGCCCATAACAGGACAGCTTCAGTGCGTTACACGCAACGAAAACGCTACTGACATTCTTGCGGGCTACTGGCCTTAACAGAACGTTGTAAACAGTGTAGCACGTGTGGTATGTGTTATCTTTTTGTCACTGTATATATCATATTCATCACCGTGTACCTGGAGTATATGTCAAGGCAAAAGCCAGACAAACTCCTTCAGATCTCTATCAAAACAATTCTCCCTCTCTTCTCCCATACAGTGATTTTCTCTATATATGAAGGCAGAAGTCATGAAAAGATGGAAGCTTGTGATAAAATATTCGTAAATAATTGTTCGTCTACGCATGTCTTTCGCAAAGGTTTACATACAATATTTCGCCTTGAAGTCTTTCCAGACCTTTTATCAGTAACTCACGATTCCTTTTGCCTTCCGCATAATTTTCGTGGGCACGCAGCAGCATCAGCACCTCCGCAATGCCGTGTTTGCACTGCATTTCATGATCTACAGTTAGTGCACCTCGCATCGCTCACCACTCCGCCACCTGCAAGCACTCCTTCCACCACCACTGGAATCTCTCTTTCACTCTCCTCACGTGACTGTGCTCTGCCCCCCCCTCTTTTCACGCACTCGTGCCTGCTATTTTGCGAAGTTGTAGGCTGTTCTGCTCTCAAAAATTTAATAAAGTACTTGTGTAAACAAAAGGAAGCTCCGATTTTTCGGAGCTCAGCCGATAAAGGTAAATACCCTACCCGCGAACTACTGGTCGTCGTATCAGAACAAAACAAGTCATTGTGACTTGACTCATTAGAACCAGCGAGCGTTGGATCAGCCAGCTTTCTCCCAACTCAGAAGTTTCTAATGCCACCGGTTAAATTACCAATCGGGAAATTGTTCGCATCAACACAAGTTCAACAAAGACCAACAATACTGTCGGATGTATAGAGCAGCGCCGTATTCAGTTCGACATCCACTCAGCCAAGTGTATCACACCAAAAGGGAAGACTGGAAAAGATGACCAGAAGAGGAGACATCTGCTCCCGATTAGGTCAACGATTCGTCTCGAGCAGCACTTATTTTGCAACAGACGCAACTTCAATCAAATCAAATCGAATCAAACTTCATTTCGTCAACAATTTTGTGTGTTGTGGAACACCAGGGCTCGAGAAAAAGTGGAACTTTCCACTTGAGAAGCCTCGAGTCCCCGTTTTACAGAGCATACAGCGAGAGTGCACAATACAGATACAGTCTTTATGGAACATAACACTTAAACTAATGCCACAGAACAATGCAATAGTTATAAGATATACAATATATTATTTTAATTATACAATAATATGTCCTCCTGAAATCATGACAACAAAATAAGTTTTCCTTTACACAATTTCTATGTGAAAAAAACAGTAACATTTGGAAGTGTATCGAACAGAAGCTGTACTCGTTACAAGAAGGAAATGTAATAATTTATGGTGACAGGAAACACATTGATTGCATTGCTTCCAGTTGTTTTAAGTCAATGCCAAATTTATACAGTTCATTTAACAGTTTTGGAAGTGTATGGCGAAGAATTTGTTGTGTTAACATGATGCGGCAAAATGGCATTTTCCAGGTATCATCATTGCGGGTATCATAAGCCCTTGTAATCGGTGTCAATTCGGATAATGTACGAAGTAGTACTTCTCTATCATGTTTATACTTTTTGGCTAGATTTACTGGGTACAAGTTATGAACCAACGTGGTACTGTATTTGATATACAAGGGTTTTGTGTGTGCAGCTTTTTCAGCACTCGCAGTGTGACGTGGTGCTTTTTTTTCAATATATACAGCTGCCTGAGGTAAATTAGCGTTGTTGCGCCCCAAACTAAACAGCAATTGTTTAAATTAGAAAGAAATGGTGCATTGTAAATATGAAGTTTGACGGCTGTTGGCAAGTAGAATTTGAATTTAGACAATATTTCTACTACCTTAGCTACCTATGCAGCAATATGATTAGCCTGAATGTCCCAAGATAGATTCTCTTGAGAAAATACTCCAAGTAATTTTACTGAGTCAACAATTTTTATACGTAAGTTTCCCACTGTAAGATGTTTCCTAATGTGACACCTTGATTCCATCTGAATTCATAGGAAGAATTCTGAAACCTTAAGGAGCAAACACCACCTGTTTGAGTTTGAACAAGACATCTTGAAGTGAAATAACCGTCAAGTAAAATAACCGTCAAGTTGTGTTGCCAGAATCGGAACTTGAAAGAGTCTAATATGACAGGGAAGCAGAGAATGACAGGTGTGCTGGCTCTTGTCTTATCTGTGTGCGTTGTGTATTTTCGCACTGAGCTGTTTAAGCAGGAAAACGCTCGTCTTGGCTGCGTGCTTGGTCACAATTGGTGGCAGTATAGTAGTGACACCGCAATGTCCACGAGCGGTCACTTTTGTTAGTGAAGCATATTTTACGTAGTGCAATCACTTTGAGGATCTATCTATCTATCTATCTATCTATCTATCTATCTATCTATCTATCTATCTATCTATCTATCAAACAATCAATCAATCAATCAATCAATCAATCTATCTATCTGTCTATCTATCTATCTATATATCTATCTATCTGTCTATCTGTCTATCTATCTATCTGTCTATCTATCTATCTATCTATCTATCTATCTCTATCTATCTAGCCGCCTAAGCCTAGGTGCTCTCGTGACCACACTTTTAACTGAGGGTAAAACAAATTTGGTAAGTGGAGGTAACATGGTTTGACGAATATGACTCACTGGTCATGACGTGAATGTCACAGTCTCGTTGTGTACGTCTTTGACCCATACCCACCGGAAGTGTGGCACATACCCGCAGGTGAGTATGTGCTTTAGGTATGCGGGAATGTGGCACAAGTGATTGACACCTAACACCTCAGTATTCTGTGCGGCAATGAAGTATTATACGGCAAAGCCACGCCTGGTCTCTGAACTACTTTTTAATTAGACAACAATGTTGATGAAACGCCGATTGTGGTTGCAGTGCTGGCTATTCAATTTCATAAACATTTCATATTGCCACCTGCATCTATTGGGTTGAGAGCAAGGGTGGCTTTCACCCTAAAAAAGACAAAAAATCGCACTCTTTTTATCCGCTCGAGAGCCAGCCGCGACGGACGCGCTTTTCGAGAGCTCGCTACATCTTGGCTTATTGAAAGACCCCTGCACTTCTAATGTCTTGTGACAATCTGCTGGAGAGATTAGGCACCACTCACGGATGTTGCAGACCCCTCCAGGGAGTCTCCCTACGAGTCCAGTCCCATTTCACACCCCTGTGCATCGAGCCAGCCGCCGAATCAGGGGATTGCCTCAGGAAGTCAACAATATGGACCCCACCAACTCGACAGGTATGACGAGTGCTTCTGTTCAAATAGCTTCAACCTACACGGAAACCACGGTGCCGATTCAGTATACGTTGGAGAACGCCCGTGTCACGACGACGTTCTATGACACGGAGTGCGAGGACGTCGAATACTGGATGGCCGATATCGCGCACGTAGGTGCCTTAAATCATTGAGATAACGTGGCTACTGGGGCATGTCCACTTCTACCTGGAGGACGGGGCACTTACCTGGTACCAGAATGGCGAGGAGCACCTGGCGTCGTGGCGCGAGTTTCGTCATACGCCTCTGGAGACCTACACAAGTACCGATCTTCAACAACGAGTGGAACGAGCGATTCAGTCCCGGGTCTAGTTGCCAATCGAAACTATTACCACTTACGTCAAAGACATGACACGCCTCTACGGACGAGCTGACCAAAGAAGGGCGGAGGACAAGAAGTTGCGCCATCTGATGTGTGGAGTTAAGAGCAGCTCTTTGTCGGCCTCGTGCGGAGCCCTCCTATGACTGTCGCGGAGTTCTTGAGAGAAGCGGTGACTATAGAAATGATGCTGCTGCAACGTTCTAGCATGTATGAAAGGCAAGTAAATGGTATGTGCGCTGTGGACATTTTCACCACAGCTGGAACTAACGACAGCCTACGAGAACTCATTCGTTCCGTGGCGCGTATAGAGTTGCAGAAGGCTGGCGTGACACCCAATCCTACGTCTGGCTCAATCGCAGCGGTTACCAGAAAGGAGCGGCACCTGGCGCTACGGGGCTCTTAACATCTCTGCGCCAGCCCCCACTTCATACCGCCCTGAGACCACCACCTATGTGAAAGCCTTAAAGCAGCCTGCGGCCTCTCCACCCCTGTTCGTTTGCACTGCTTCCACCAGTCGGCGCAGTCAATAGAGTACTACGACAATAGGTATACGTCGCCACCCTTGGTCCGTACCACCGCAGCCAGCCATCATTCGGAGCAGCGAGTCCATTACATGGATGATTGGCGCACGTCCCCTCGGAAGTCAGCTATTTGGCGTACACCTGAGCACCAGCCTCTGTTTTTTCACTGCCGTGAAGCGGATCACTTGTACTGCCAGTGTCCATACTGCTACCTTGGGCTTCACGACGTCTCTTTAAAATCACCCCCCCCCCTCCTCCCGGTATTGTCAGCGACCCCGCGACATTAAAAACTACCTCGCCCAGCATCCTGCACCACTGTCCACCGGGCGCCAGTTGCGTTCACCGTAGCCGCGGCGATTTTCATTGCTGCCTTAGCTGTATTTTACCGCACTGGGGCAACCTCCGAGGGCGGGGTCGCTGAACATCGAAGAGCTGAAGACCTCCGATCGACACAGAGACGTAAC